GGTTCAAGATGGGGAAAAATTAATCCCCAAGTACATTAGTCAGGTGGTCATGACATTAATGTAAAGAATGAATATAGACCTTTCTGCTAAGTACAAGCCAACAGAAGGGATACTATAGCACAAATTGCAGACAACTACAATCAAGATGAAGGAATGAATGTGTCACAAAACACAGTATACTGATTCTTGTTTTATATGAGGCTGCATAGTACCTATTCTAATCAATATCCATTGCTAAAAGTATATTCAGTAGGCATTCAAGCATTAAAATATGACCTTGTATCAATTGATGCCTTGCTTTCTCCTGAATTATGTGGACAACAGTGTAGGTGTGCTTCAATATCCTGGAGGAAGTGATGGCACTAGGATATACTGTGGGAAATCAAAGACTGGTAGAAGCAGTGTGATGGTTAGGGTAACAGTCTGCTGGGAAATATTGAACCCTATCTTACAGGAAATATAATGGTTGGCTACTCGCTTCCAAGCACACCTGTCTGCTGGGAGCAGTTTGCTAATCCCTGTTGCAGACGCCTGCTCAGGCACATGTGTTTCTTCAACACCCACAGGGCCCACTTATACTGCAAATATGCTGAGCAGGGCTTAGGTACAGTTCCTAGAAGACTGTGTGCATAATTTTACGTGATCAACAGTTTAAACAACACTCAAACCCTCAATCATTTTGTGTTCACAATCATGAATAGTTTCTGAACAGCTCTGTCTACCCAGTTCCACTCATAAGCCTTGGGCCTACCCAAGGTATGGTTTTCAAATACTTTCCAAATGTGTCACATGATGGATTTGCTTTCCCAGTCTAATACCATCAAAAATTAACCATGGTAAAACTGGAACTTACTTAGAAAGCAAACATTCTAACCACTCAGCCATACAAACAATGTGAAAGATACCTTGCCATATAGCACACCTGCAAACCTTTATTCATTTACTTCAATTTATGGCAACTGTCTTCTACAATGACAGTGGCAACTTCTAGAAGGACAATTCATTCTGCCACACAGCATCAGAAAGAACAACAACTCTATAGATCCCAATCTCATTGAGCATTTATGGACATGTGTTGGGCCAAAATGTTTGTTTGCAGAATCTTTACCATATAACTTGCAGCTATTAAAAAATTTGTTAATATCATGGCACCAAGTCCCAAAAGAAACATTTAAGAGATCTTGTAGATGTGCCTGATCATATAATTTTATTGTTGAAATTGCTAGAGGTAACCATGTAAGTTCTAATGTTCTCACATTTCTCACCTGTAGAACACTTAAAGTTTCTTGATTTCTTGTCAACTATGATATTCAAAATTTTAAATGCAGCATCAATTGTCATTTTCTATCTCCTTGATTTTTGTTCTTTTATTAGTATATCTCCTCAATAACATTTGTTTCTTTCACTTTTAGCAAACCCTTGTATTTTAATGGCCTTGCTTGGTGTGAAATGATTGAAGAGGAAGAGAGAGAGAGAGGGAGGGAGAGAGGAAAAGAAAAAGAGAGCAAGGAAAAGAAAAAGAGAAGATAAAAAAGAGGAAAAGAAAAAAGATAAAAAAGAGGAAAAGAAAAAAGATAAAAAAAGGGGAAAAGAAAAAAAGATAAAAAGAGGAAAAGAAAAAAAGATAAAAAAGAGGAAAAGAAAAGAAGATAAAAAAGAGGAAAAGAAAAAAGATAAAAAGAGGAAAAGAAAAAGAGAAGATAAAAAAGAGGAAAAGAAAAAGAGAAGAGAAAAAAGAGGAAAAGAAAAAGAGAAGAGAAAAAAGAGGAAAAGAAAAAGAGAAAAAAAGAGGAAAAGAAAAAGAGAAAAAAGAGGGAAAGAAAAAGAGAAGATAAAAAAAGAGGGAAAGAAAAAGAGAAGATATAAAAAGAGGGAAAGAAAAAGAGAAGATAAAAAAAGAGGGAAAGAAAAAGAGGAGATAAAAAAGAGGGAAAGAAAAAGAGAAGATAAAAAAGAGGGAAAGAAAAAGAGAAGATAAAAAAGATGGAAAGAAAAAGAGAAGATAAAATAAGAGGAAAAGAAAAAGAGAAGATAAAAAAAGAGGAAAAGAAAAAGAGAAGATAAAAAAAAGGAAAAGAAAAAGAGAAGATAAAAAAGAGGAAAAGAAAAAGAAGATAAAAAAGAGGAAAAGAAAAAAGATAAAAAAGAGGAAAAGAAAAAAGATAAAAAAGAGGAAAAGAAAAAAGATAAAAAAGAGGAAAAGAAAAAAGATAAAAAAGAGGAAAAGAAAAAAGATAAAAAAGAGGAAAAGAAAAAGAAAAAAAAAAAAAAAGAAAAAAGAAAAAAAAAAAAAGAAAAAAGAAAAAGAAAAAAGAAAAAGAGGAAAAGAAAAAAAAAGAGGAAAAGAAAAAAGATAAAAAAAGGAAAAGAAAAAAAAAGATAAAAAAAAAAAGAAAAAAAAAGATAAAAAGAGGAAAAGAAAAAAAAAAGATAAAAAAAGAAAAGAAAAAAAAAGAAAAAAAAGGAAAAGAAAAAGAAGATAAAAAAGAGGAAAAGAAAAAGAAGATAAAAAAGAGGAAAAGAAAAAAGAAGATAAAAAAGAGGAAAAGAAAAAGAAGATAAAAAAGAGGAAAAGAAAAAGAAAGATAAAAAGAGGAAAAGAAAAAGAGAAGATAAAAAAGAGGAAAAGAAAAAGAGAAGATAAAAAAGAGGAAAAGAAAAAGAGAAGATAAAAAGAGGAAAAGAAAAGAGAAGATAAAAAAAGAGGAAATGAAAAAAGAGAAGATAAAAAGAAAATGAAAAGAGAAGATAAAAAGAGGAAAAGAAAAAGAGAAGATAAAAAGAGGAAAAGAAAAAGAGAAGATAAAAAAAGAAGGAAAAAAAAAAAGATAAAAAAGAGGAAAAGAAAAAGAGAAGATAAAAAAGGAAAAAGAAAAAGAGAAGATAAAAAAGAGGAAAAAAAAAAGAAGATAAAAAAAGAGGAAAAGAAAAGAGAAGATAAAAAAAGGAAAAGAAAAAAGAGATAAAAAAAGAGGAAAAGAAAAAGAGAAGATAAAAAAGAGGAAAAGAAAAAGAGAAGATAAAAAAGAGGAAAAGAAAAAGAGAAGATAAAAAAGAGGAAAAGAAAAAGAGAAGATAAAAAAGAGGAAAAGAAAAAGAGAAGATAAAAAAGAGGAAAAGAAAAAGAGAAGATAAAAAAGAGGAAAAGAAAAAGAGAAGATAAAAAAGAGGAAAAGAAAAAGATAAGATAAAAAAGAGGAAAAGAAAAAGAGAAGATAAAAAAGAGGAAAAGAAAAAGAGAAGATAAAAAAAAGAGGAAAAAAAAAATGAACCCAAAATATAAAAGCAGTTTTGCAGGTAAACCATTATGCTGTCATCATGTTTGGGCTGTTCAGCATATAGCAGGTAAATACAATTGGTAAAGTTTATGTATCAAATGAACAATCATATAAATTCAAGTTGTTTAAGTGTTTCTGGTCTAATTATTAAATAAATACCAAAGTTAAAAATTTCCCAATTTCTACCATCTAGCAACTACAGCTTACTGGCTATTACACTAGGTCAACAACTTTAATTGCTGTGAATGCAAATTTTATTTAAAATTATTTCTGTTTATCAGAAAGTTTAGGTTTCATAGAAAATTAATCATCATATTTAGTCTCACGACTGGGTGTGGTTGTAGGGTGATCACCTAACCAGCTCTATGTCTTGGTAGGTATTCATTCATGTGTAGCAGGTCAAGTAGACCTGGCGGAGCTGAACCATCTGGTTAGACCACAGATATCTTCTGACTCAAAGACCCACCTTGATCATGGACATGTCTTTGCTGATTTCAACAGGGGAACCCTTCACTCTGGCTGCTAGCTTCAGTCTAAGAAGCCATCTTCCCAGCAATGTCATGTTGCCACCACCCTGGACATACTGCTAGTACATCAGTCCCATGTGCAGATTTAGTCTGTACCCAACTGAAACTCACAACAGTGAGTTTCTTAGTAGTTTTTGTTAACAGAAAATTAACATTTTAATTCAACTCACCATGAAAATGGTGGAATAAAAAGAAAAAGGTGTCTGCAGATACTGACACTCACATAGCATTTTTTTTAATTGATATGTAACTTTGCAAAATTTTCCAATGAGAAACAGTATAATAGTTGAATGTTTCCGACTAAAAACTGGCCATGTTCTAATTAAGAATTAAAATCTTGCTTAAAAGGTGATTATCAATTTTCTATATCTACTTATATCACTGTCTATAAAATGCTTCCATGACATGTGCCCCAATTAGCCTTTGACAACTAAGTCCAGCTCCAAGCTAGAGAATGGGTAAAGGCAGAAAACTGGCACCTCATAACCATCTGCTGTGATTAAATGGAGCTTGTCATCCCAGAAGACAGTTCATATAAGGGAAGGAAAACCATGATTTTAAACCTCTGCTACCTTGCGGTCACATCTGAATGTGTTAAAGCCTATGGAAGTAAATCCAGACAGAAAACCTAGCATGGAGCCCCGAAGGCTGTTGGTTGTCAACACTGATAACTTTCCAGCAACTCCTGCAGCCAAGTAATGCCTTGTATTCTTTTAGATCTTGTCTGTATGGCCGAGAAGGAGGGGCATATAGTCTAGGCATCACATGGCCTCCATATAGCATCGCCCAGGCCTGTACCCTGGAGAGGACACTAGTCTCACCAGCAAAGGACTAAATTTTAACCAAACAGGGTGCTACTTTTATCTTGCAAGACAAACGGATGCCTACTATATCTACTTGAGAATTTAATGTAGATAAATAAAGAAACTATTACTTGTAAAGTCAGAATACCCACAAATTTATATGAAAGTAGAGGTGGACATAATTACCAAAATTATTTATATCAGAATTGTTCTCTTATCCAATGAGATATCTTTTCACCCATTTTCTGAGGCTCATGTCTTAATGTAGAGTTAAAAACCAGAAATCTGTGTCAAACAGTTATTTACTTTTTAATTTAGTTTCTTGAAAGCCATTAAAAAATTCAACAAAACCTTATTTGTACTGCCACCTAGACATAGAAGAAATAACATCTCTTCAATGAGTGAGGTTGTTAATTTAGAAAAGCAATTTCTACTCTATTCAAAGATAGCATTATAAGCTGAAAGAGGACTATAATAAATTTAGTCATTTATTTTTTTTTTTACAAAGATATCCATCAACTATGAAGGTATTAATATGGCAATATCATTTTATTACCTGTTGTGGTGATATGTGAAAAAAAGGAGAGATGCAGTCAAGTGTACATTCAGATATTTTAAAAAAATGTGTAGCTTTACATAGTGTGAAAGTCAAAATACATAAAAAAAGCATGTTAAGTGTTTGTAATAATTCAGTCTGAAAAGCTTTGCTGGAGTCTAAAGAAAATGAGAAAGCAAACAAAAAAAAAAAAGATATTTGTTTTAGTCTGACATGTTTAGACAATCTTTTATTAATGTCTCACACTGGAATAAATTAAGAAGCACTAGACAGGAAACAGACATAATAAAAACTAGAACAAAAAATGTTAATATATACAACATTGAGTGAGCAAGCAAGTTAGCCAGTGAAAGTTAGGAGGGAAGAAAATCAATATGAGCAGTTAAACAAAAATAATAAGGCTGGAAAAAAAAAGTTGGGATAAGGAACGAAAATAACAACAACAAAAACAATTTCATAATTATTTATGCTTCTGCAAAATCAGTTGGAAACTTGTTCATAATATTGATTACAAAATCAATATCTATTAGCCCTTATCTAATATTGGAATATAAGAATCTATCATGATGCATATTTAGCTACTCAGAAGTAATATAAAAACAAATTGGAAATAAATACAAGAATTTGATCAATATGAAAATAAAAAAAAATTGTACCTAACAAGAAAAAACAAAACAAAAAAAAAAAAATCATAGTATTGAGGGTAAGTGAAATAATCTCAAAGAATAAAATGAAGTGACACCAAGGCAAATGGTAAAAGTATTAGTATCTTTTAGTATAAAGTGTGTGTGTATGTGTGCATATTATATATATATATATATATATATATAAAACAGTATTTTAAATAGATTTTATTTGTTTGATTATATAAATAGGAGTATTATTTGGTATGATTACTACCTTATACTCCACAGTAAGTTCAGGAAGAATAAATATATCAACTGAAGAGACATGCATGTGAATTCACAGACACACATGTATATAAAGTGTGTGTGTGTATATATATATATATATATATATATATATATATACACACACACACACACACACACAGATATAGATGAAATACAATGTATAAAGAATTGCAGAATTGAGTTTCTGTCCTTTCCAAATGCCTGATGATTGTGCAAATGCCAACAAATAAACAGCACATGCAAAAAATAGCAAAATTTAAGTATTGTTTTATATATATATAATATTATGCTTTAAATTAAGCACTGTGTTTTTATATTATTTTCAGTATTTATTTTATTAAATGATATTTCTAACATAACCTTTAGTATAATGGATAAAATGGAAGCTAAATCATATTCAGCAAAGAAAAAAAAGTTTTTGCATACCTGGATTCTAAAGAGTGAATTTTGTCTTCTTTGATTTCCATATTTTTCTTTAGAGCTTCTTGCATCATATTTTCAAGAGCCTGATAGCGACTGAAAGAAAGAACAATAGCCAATTGGTTTGAATGGATCATTAGAGAAAAAAAAAAAAAAAAAAAAAAAAAATTCAATTAAACCCATTTTAAGTAGTATGATACAGTGTTGGAAAGTCCTCAGCTTGAAAAAGAATCCCTTAAAAATCTGATGTGTGATCATTTGGCCCAATTTTGGGAAGGGTGTTGGGCTGAAAATTTTTTTTGTGTATATGTTCTTACATACAAGGGATGGTTTTCTTCTGAAAATTTATATTGTTAATAAGACTTTCACACCTAGAAGTGGCATTATATATATATATATATATATATATATATATATATAATAATAACAATTAATATATATAATATTAATAATAACAATTAATATATATAATATTAATAATAATTTAATATATATAATATTAATAATACTTTCACACCTCAAGTGGCATTATATATATATATATATATATATATATATATATATATATATATATGTGTGTGTGTGTATATGTATAGTGGGCTCTCCTATCGTGAACAATAAATGAGGGTTGGCATTGAATGGTGTCTTTTGTTTTACGCTTATGCATTCTAGCAGGGGCTATTGTGCTGAAAATCAGGTGAGGGAAAGACATTTCATTTGTGCTTTCTGAAGTGTGATACTAGCCCAGCCTATATATATATATATATATATATATGGTTGAGTAATGGATAGTCACTCGGATTAAATAATCTAAGAGTTAGGTTCAGATTCCAGTTGAGTTTATTACATTCACTTACATGCTAATACCCTTTGGAAAGGTATGAATCCACCTGTTCTTGCCCCAGCTATTGGTAAATAGCAGGACAAACTGGGCCTTATAGCCTTGGGTGGCAACCGACCTAAAAGAAGGACAACTTTGGATTCAAAACCTGAGAAGGATTGTTTTGGAAACTTGTGGCACATTGTGTACCAGTCTTCTGTATTTGGCTTTTTCAAAAAGTGTGGCCAGTTATGCACAAGTCTTCACCATTATAATTAAATCATATGTGAGGATAGTATAGCTGTTTGATTCAAACAACTGAGCTGCTGGACCCTCAGATCTGCCAAGGATGGTGAAATGTTGTAAGAACCTGGATGTAAATTTAGCATTGATGATCTAGCAATTAAAGCACTTTCTAAACATTTTCTTCTTACTAAATTGTTTTCTCTTTTAATTAAAGTAGCATTTTTAAAAATTAAAATTGTGGTCAGTCTTATCTGATAGATCTGTTATCACAATGTGGGATATTTAATAACAAAAGTGATAGAAATAAAAAGAAAGAGAATCTAAATGAAATCAGCTTGATTATATGCCCAAAACGCATTTAAAAAAAAAAAAAAAATCCCCAGCATCTCTTATTTTTGTGCATGCGTAACCGTATTAACATAAAGATAAACTTAGTCTGATCAAGTCCTAAAGAACAAAATGCACCACACAAAATCGTTTTCCACTTTGTCATACTTCTTTCCCTTAAAATTGTTCTTGATATATAAAAAAAATTTATATATCATTATCACATATATAAAAAGATTCCTGAAAAAAAATCTGACATTTGTTGTTTAGCTCAAACAATGGCAAAATTGATTCATTTTAGAAGACTTAAAAAAAAAAATGAATCCAGATTCTTGAAAGCTTTATTATGCTTCTGATGTTCTGACTGAAATTGCTTTAAATATTTCATTTTTTTTTTTTTTTTTTAAATTTTGGGTGAGGAGAAAATTTATTTTCTCTCTCATCACTTAAAATAATAAATAATAACAATAAAAGCTGTAACAAAATAAAATAATTAAATAAGTCGGTTAAAAAGCAAAAAAAAAACATTTCATAATAGTTCAAAATATTTTTAAGAACTCAAATAATCTTTGCAAAGTGCCAAAATCAAGGGACTTTATAACAGACTGAAATGATCAAGTTAGAAATAAAAAAATGAATTTATAAATAAACTCTTTCAGTTAACTTCTGAAAAGGTTGTAATGTTTATTTTTTAAAATTAATGTCAATCTTAGCTAACCCTTAGAATGCTAAAAGAAAAAAAAGAATAGCTTACATTTTTGTATGTGTGCTCCACTTGGAATTGAACAAGTAAATTGAATTATTTTTAGCATAGACAGAAAAATCCATTATCTGAAACACTTAGAACCAAAAATGGCTCAGGTTCTCAAATTGCTTCAGGCATTGCAATGCATATATACTTGCATAACAGAGGGCCATTCAAAAATACATTCAGTTTGTGTGTGTAATATTAATATGCAAAGCTTATTGTTCATTGATATTTGAGCCATTCATATAATGGCAAGCTTTCCCAGTCAGATTGTCAATATTGTATTCATTGAACAATATTTTTCATTAAAAATAACATTCTTTTTGGTATCTTACTATAGAATAGAGATTAACAAGTTAGTTTTATAGAAAAGTAATGAATTCACTCCTCACTGGGTGCTATTGACTTTTGTTAGATGAAGTTAAGCTTTGGAAATATTCAGTAATGGTAAGATACATGAAGCAACAAGAGGTTATTCCAAAAAAGGTTTTATACAGAAATTTGTGGGGAATAATTAAGTTACCTGAGGAGGGGCCAGAGGGCACAATGGTTGAAATGTTGTGATAACAACAACAAAGATGGGGACAATAGTCCTAATATAAATTGATACAGATATTCACAAGGCAGATAGAAGGATAGAGGTTCAGGGGAAAAACAACATGTAACATACTTTATGGGCTTGAGCAAATGAATGGCAGAACAAAGTCTGGGAGAAATAACAAAAAGACAAAACTTATTAAGAGCTACATAGGCCAGAAGAATGTGGAGAGCCATGATTGCCTATATCTTGAAGGGACATGGCACATAAAAGAAGATGATCAGATATATTCTGGACTGTATTTCTTTGATTGGCGCAGAGGGATATTTGAAAGTATTTCAAACAATTAAACTTATTGGAAAAACCAATAATAATGACAATTAGCAGTCAAAAAGAATTTAATTTATAAACTTATATAATTTATTTTCTGATAGAGGATTGCTACAAATGATTATATACAATCAAGAAACTAGTTATGATGTGAACTTTTACCCATAACAACCTGATGAAAATGGATAGATTCAACCAATGTTATTTAAGCTATCATAAAAATGTGAAGGTATCTTAGTGTCCCAATAATGAATTAAGTGATAAGAGATTTGAATTTTTATTTTTAAGACTGGACAAATGAAATATGCGATCAAAATCTTCTCTCTAATGGGCCAGTTAAAGTCTAATACAGGTAAAATCTACAATATGAAAGTTATATATATATATATATATTATGCCAAAATGGAGAAGTGCCAATGGTAGAAGTTATCAATTGGAATTGCCAATAAGTTTGCATTGTGTGCAGGTGTGTCTGGCAGTAAGAAGTAGAAAGCATATATTATAATGTTACAGGTCTTCATAGGCAGCACAGCTGTTAGTTCTCTCTAACCAATATGTAAGCAAATTAATATTTTTAATTTTATTTAGAGTTCTATGATGACGGAGTTAGTTTCCATAGTGACAGTTATATTTAATGTATTCTTGCCATTAGGATGTATGTTGAACTGGAACAATGAAATATCAACTCAGCAAAAATAACCTGAAATGCTTTTATGTGAAATTTTCAGTTTATGTATAAATTAGTTAAGAATAAAATTAATTTACATTGCAGAAGCAAAAGAATACATGATGAGGTTCTCAGGTTGACTCACTTTTTAAAATCTGACCAAATGACCAAGCTTTATTTTTTTTTTTTTTTTAGGGGCTTCTTGTTTGGGCTAAGAAAACTTTTCAGCACTCTCTTGTAAATTATTTTTCATTTCCCCAAAAGTAATTTATATTTACAAAGAGGTTGGTAGCATTTTCAATAGAACTTCCTTAAATAATTGAAATTATTCCTATAACTTGAGCAATCCAATATTTCATCCTTAGCTGTCTAAAAAGGAGGTATTTTTGAAAATCTACAGCATATATTACCTCTTCAAAATGTATATTTATTCTTATATCTCACATCATTTGCTAAAAATTAGGATGTATGCAGCTTTTAGAAGTATCAAGATTTCATTGTAAACATGTCACACAAGATCTAATTCTAAATTTACTCAGCTCCAAATGTGCAATGTTTTAATCCAGAGATTGGCAGTATCTTTGGGACTTGTGGACCAAGACAAACCATTTTAGATGATCATAATATAAAATTTTTAAAATTTCTTATTCTCTGCACAAAAATGTAAATAATAGACATTAAGAGAAAGAAAATAGGAAGAAAAAAAAAACAAACAGAAAAAAAAAACAAACAGAAAAAAAAAACAAACAGAAAAAAAAAACAAACAGAAAAAAAGAAAAGAAAAACAGAACAAGTGAAGAGACAAAAAAGGAGGGAAAAAACAGAGAGAGAGAGAAAAGAGAGAGAGAGAGAAAAGAGAGAGAGAGAGAAAAGAGAGAGAGAGAGAAAAGAAGAGAGAGAGAGAGAAAAAGAGAGAGAGAGAGAAAAGAGAGAGAGAAAAGAGAGAGAAAGAGAGAGAGATAGAGAAAAAGAGAGAAAGATAGAGAGAGAAAAGATAGAGAGAGAGAAAGATAGAGAGAGAAAAGATAGAGAGAAAAAAGATGAGAGAGAGAAAGAAAGAGAGAAAAGATGAGAGAAAAGATAGAGAGAAAAGATAGAGAGAAAAAAGATAGAGAGAAAAAAGATAGAGATAGAAAAAGATAGAGAGAAAAGATAGAGAGAAAAGATAGAGAGAAAAGAAAAGAAAAGAGAGAGAGAAAAAGATAGAGAAAAGATAGAGAGAAAAGATAGAGATAGAAAAAAAGATAGAGAGAAAAGATAGAGAGAAAAGATAGAGAGAAAAGATAGAGAGAGAAAAAGATAGAGAGAGAGAAAAGATAGAGAGAGAGAAAAGATAGAGAGAGAGAAAAGATAGAGAGAGAGAAAAGATAGAGAGAGAGAAAAGATAGAGAGAGAGAAAAGATAGAGAGAGAGAAAAGATAGAGAGAGAGAAAAGATAGAGAGAGAGAGAAAAGAAAGAAAGAAAGTGAAAAGAATTAATCGGGGAAAAAAAACTAAAAATTGCTTTCAACATCCATAACTTTTCATAATTAATTATTGTCCAATTTACATCTACCAAAACTATTAACACTGCTACATTGTTATATCTTTGTTACCTGGCTGTGCTGGTCCATTTTAGGGAAAAATAAGAAATTGCCATTCATAGAAAATAAAAAAGAGTAAAGATGCTGATGTTTATTTCTCATGGGTGCTACCACTTTGGTTTCAATCAGATACTTTTCAGTACAGAGTAAGCTGAATGAAATCTCACAAACAATAAAAATAAATCACAAAATAGCTTGTATTGTGCACCACCATATGTCTATGCCAGTTTTGAAATAGCATTAAGTGTTAGTTTGTTTATAACAAAAACTAGACATACATTTTGTGGTGTCTTGATAAATGTATATACATGTCAACAGCAGGCAATCTAAGTTCCATAAAGGTGTATAAGCATGTTCACAGCAGTAGAAGTGGTAGTGTAATAGTGTAAGAAAGCTGTTTAAACCATGACATTAAGATCTTAGGGGAAAATGTATTACATTTTTACTATTATTAAACAAAAAAGATTTTAATTTTGATTTAAATAACTTAAACTTTTTTTAAATTAAAAAAAATAATAATGTGATAATTATTTAGCCCAAATTAAATAATTTTTCTTTGCAAAACATCAAACGTGTGTATATGTCTGAGAGCAGAGAATTTCCTTGTATGGTTGTTACCTGTCATCAGATTCATGTGTCTTCATCAGTTCTTCACTCTTCAAACCAATCCGTTCCAATTCTTGACCCAACTTTTCCCTTTCATTAAGCAACTGTTGCATTTGAATCTTCTCATTCACTAAATCCTACCAAAGAAAACCAAAGACAAATTAATATTTCACAACAGACACTTGGTAAATAAACCTTAAGACAATAATAAAAAGAAACACATTTTCAAAACATTTATTCAAATTAAACAGTTAAAAAAATATATATATATACACAATTGAATATGTATATACAACATGTATATATGCATATATTGATTTTCTAAGCATAGCTTAGATGTGGCACAAGGCTGAATGTATGGGGCAACTCAGTGAGGATCAAACTCACTATTCTGTAGTAACTGTTTTAGTGAGACAAACTTGCCAACCATTACACCACGCTGAGGTGCCCAAAATGACAATAGCCTAGTGGATTAAAGCAGTAGTTTGTAAATTTGGTGAAACAGTAATTAGGAGTTCAATCCCTGGGCTGGACAATGATACTTCGACAGAATGGAAACAATGTGAGCAATAACTGAGCAGTACTAAAAATATGATCTAGATGAAATATTCCTAGACATGAGCAGTGAAGACAGGTCATTTAACCTGTAGGTTAAATAAAGGATTTAGTTCAGGATTCCCTATAGATTGCCTGGATTGATATACACCCTGATGGTGTCTGGAGAGCACAACGGCCAAAACGTTGGGATAAAAACAACAAAAATTAGGACAATAGTTTGCATGTAAATAGTCTAAATTATGTACATATAATTATGCTTTGTGCATGCGTGTGTATGTACTTAGAGAAATTTCTTAAGCTCTACAATTTACATGATGAGATTTTATTTGTCTTGAAATGCGTTTTTTTTTTTTCTCTTTCATTGTTCCTTGTTTACACAAGGTAAATCAGATTTATTCAATTTTATTTTTTTAAAACAATTAAAAAATAACATCTCCTACCTGACACCTAACCCATTGGTGCCACATGTACAGACAACACTTTTGAATTGGTCTGGCATCTGGCAGCCATTGTTAGTGTCTGGGAGGAAACTATAAAAAGGTAACAGGTGATGCCATGCCCCTCTCTCTAACCTCATTTGAGGCATATAGCTAAGGTAGGGTGGAGGATTGAAAAAGCAATCAATTGAAAATCTAGAGCTGTTACTAAATGAAGTAGGTATTTAGGTAAATTAAGTAATGAAGGAGCATTTTTATAAGAACTTGTTAGATTAGGTTAATATTCTATTTTAAAAAATAAAATAAAAATCTGATATAAAAAAAAAAAAATCTTTATTTTTCTTTTTGCTGTAGTACACTGACATTTCAATAACAAGACACACACATTTATTTTCAAATAGATTAAATAATCATTTAGCTTGGGGATTGGTTTATAATGAAACTGATAACACATGCTTACAAATATTTTTTTAAAATGGTACAGAAGATGTTTTGGCTAATTTTAAACAATTGTGGGGTGCTGAATCCAAAAATAACAGCCATTTTCCCCTATTAGCTTTAGTTTCCCTGTTCAAGAATACCAAATCCTACATAAAAATAGGTCATGACTGGACTAAGTCACTATAAATGTGAAAAAAAAAAAAAATGCTCATTTGAAACTTCAACACAATTTTGGCTAATGGAACATTGGCTCCTATATAATCATCGAAGTTAAGCAATGTCAAGCCTGGTCAGTATCTAGATGGGTGACCACTTGGGAATACCAGATGCTGTAGGCTTGGATGTGTTTGCATTGCAATGGATAGAATTGTTAACCAGAGAGCTGAATTCCAATTGGCTTTGTTATATTCACTTACACACAAATACCCTTAGGAAAGGTATGAATCCACCTATTCTCTCCCCAGCTATGGGTTAATTAGTAAGACTTATCAGTAAATCACTATTATCTATATAAAAAAAAATTATTATTATTACTTAAACATTATTTTTGTGGATATTCTTATTTGAGTCGGATTAATAAATAAAAAAAATCTACGCCTTTCTTGAGAAATTACTTTGTTTACATTAAGATGCAAAATTGAGAAGATACGTCTATTTTGAGAGTCAGAAAAAAATCTGTGTTCAAAGACAATATTTAACTTTGCTTGGTTATTGACACATTTAGTAACTGAGAGGTCCAGACCATGTTAGATCTAATAATGTTTCCCCTAGGGAAAGGCAGTTTCGAATCCTGCCAGGGAGTACATATTTTCCTCTAATAAGATTTCTTGAATATTCAGGCTGGTAGATAAAAATAAATAAAGAGAAGATTTACTTCATTACAAGTATCCACTAAAAATAGTGTTTAAATACTAAAAATCTTTTGGAGTAATAAATAAAAATCCATCCCCTTCTTTAGAAATTATATATATATATATATATATATATATATATATATATATATATATATATATATATACACACATATTATAGCAATAAGAAAAGGTTAGACTTATTGTTTACTTTTCATGATTTTCAAAAAGAAAAGGGAAAAATAAAACAAACACGCCCGACTGTTTTCACCCTCACTCAACAGAGCTGAATTGAGGGATTATATATTGCAAGAAAATAAAACATAAAAACAATATGTAATATTAATGAAGGTTGAATACAATTTAAATTGAAATCATGTTTAGTCCTAACAGAAACTTTCTCTGTTTACAGAGGGAGGGCTGTCTGGACTGAACATAAATTGTTTCCAACACCTTTATCTGCAATATAGAGTGAGCACAACTCAAGATAAATTTAGTGGCACAATTTGGGTTTTTAATAAGATGCTCCACTCTATATATATATATATATATATATATATATATATATATATATATATAAAAATAAATAAATGATAAAATATAGTTTTAAGATGTGCTATGTTTATAGCTTAAAGTGTTCGATATCAGGGATAGAGCATATGTGAATATAAAAGTGGACATCTGGGTGTTGACTTTTATATATAAAGTTAAATATTCTACAGCCAAATAAAATTGGAAAATATTTTGTGAAGAGTGTATATTTTATTAAAATTCATCTTTAGTCAATGTTCATGTCTAATAAATTTAAATTATCAACTTCTAAAGCCATCACAAAAAAATAAAACTACAATTGTAAAGATTATTTATCCATCTTTTTTGAATAGCTTTTTTATTCAACATTATTTATTACTATAGACATTATTTTAATGGGTACACTAGCCTAGACTGAAATTCTACCAGAGAAAATTCCCTTTTGAGAGACAGTCTTTCTTTAATAGGACTAAGAAAAAAAAATAGCAACTTAACTACATGTACCCAGCAATAATAATGTTTATAGCAATAAGAAATTATTCTGCTTTCTAATTCTATCAACATTTTATAATATATTCATTAAGTATAAAACAGCTCTTTTAAATTGAAAAAGCCAAGGTCATTCATGCATACAAAATGTCATTTTTTGTGCATTTCAGTTCTTTTAAAGAGGAGATGCTCTGCTATGGCTGACAGATCTGCTTGACATTTATTTCTTTTGTTTAAGTAATTTTACTAAACAGTAAAATTTCAAGCTCCTTTTACTTAAAATTGGGTATAATTTAATCATGTCTTCTTCCTAACAGTATTGCTTATAAGAATTAATATAACCAATTAAATTTCGATCTCTTAAACTCTTCAGTCAAATAGAAAAATCATCTTTTCCATATGAAAGTAAATACAACAAACTTATTCAGAGTATCTGATGCAATATAAATATTAAAATTATTTATAACCATTTGTAGGTGGAAATAAGAATTCTTTGAAATCTAATAAATTGAGCTATAAAATTGCCTTGAATATTATAAAACATCTGCAATCATGAAAATTCTAGAAGATTTGACCCAGACAAAGTGGAAACTATCAAAACTTATTTCCTTTTGCTTAGTGGATACTTCACCTCCTGTAATTGAGAAATTACTGAGCTTAGATAAATATAATCCCAAAGAATTAGGCACAAGAAAGATAAAAGACAAATAGGATATTCTTGTAAGAGATACAAATTAAGAATTATTTTTAATTTAAATAAACAAAATAATAGTTCAATGTCTTTCTTTTTCTCAAAGCAAAAGGCAACTGTTTGTGAAAATAATCAAACAGTGCTGCTGCTAAAAAGCCAAAGTGCTACAGCTGCTTCATAGATGCAAATATTGACAGGAAATATTTTAAAAACAATTGGTTATGCATACAAGAGCCAAATACTGCAGTTAATGAAAATGGCAAGGAAAAAGAAAAGCATCTGTACATTTTCATGCAATGGTGTTTAGGTTATTTGCTTTCTTCCTTTTAAACAAATTGAAATCTCACAATTATCTGAATAAAGACATCAACATTTTAGTGGAGAGGCTAGTTCAACCATTTTAAAACTATTAGAAAGCATAAGGCTTAAAAATCGGGCATCAAAGGGAGACAACTGTCAATTGAAAGATTGTTGGGAGGAAAAAAATAAATAAATAAAAGACAAAAAATACAAGTTTCTAAAAACTTTTGCCATACCTTGTAAAAGCATTTCACACAAGACAGCAACAAATGCCGAAATAAATCCTGACAACCAAAATGCAGTCATCAATTCCCCAACAAATATCTTGTGTTAAAAAAGCACATGAAAAAATGCATAGATAACTTGCTTTAATTAGACAATACCAATATTCATGTAACCATTCCTTCTTACTAGAAAAAGAAAAAGTATGAGAAAAAAAAAATGCCCTCATTTTTTCACTGATTAGAAACTGGCCTAAAAATAATTTTAAGAATTATCTGGTGGACACTAAACCTAGTAACAGAAAATGTATCAAATGGACAGTTTTCTTCAAACATTTTTTTTTTTTTTACACTAGTGCAGTAATGGTAAAGTTTGGGGAAGGCGAAGTGAGATGTGTTATTTTAACAAAGAAACTGATTATTTGTGTAGCGATGAGCAGAAATGGAATGATTTTAAAAGCTAAAGTTGGATAGAAAGTAAGACAAAAACTAATTTGTGGATATTTTTAATATTGTGAGTGACATGTAAATGTCAAACTGGGTTTCATACACTGACGTGCCAAAAGTCATGGGATAGGTGTTTAAGAATGCACAAGGCTCTAGCCTGGTGAAGTGCAG